CTGTTGAATATTGCAATCTTTGACTTTTCACTTAAAGGTGTCTCCTATGACTAGTTTTTGAGTTACAGGGTGTTGAACTTCTCATAATTCTTTCACTTTTCAAAACTACTTTAAGACGTAAAAGTACGCTCTGTGGAACAGGCACATAGATGGCTTTTGCCATCAGGGTGGTAGAAGCCTACCAAATGGCCACTTTGTCCTGAAAGCCCATGGCCCCCATGTTTGATCTCCCAATAAACAAAAAGATAATTATCAGTCTACGTTTTGATGTACGGGCCCAGCTTTGAATTTTTTAATTTTTTATCTTCCTTAGTTTTTATTTTTTTGAAAATGTTTATTCTATACAGTTAAAAAATCAGGAATCACACTGTATTTAGAAGAAACAATTGAATTGTATATTTACATTTTTTTTTAGTGTCGATTTTAGTATCTATTGATTGTATGGCGATTATATTGAAAATTAAACCGATTAAGTGGAAAAGAAGGTAGAGGATCACACAACAGCCCTCAGATTGACGCTTTGACGGTTACTGAAATATTTTGACGCTCGAAAAAGAAAGAACAAAAAGAGCTTTGGGGGAAATTAAGAAATGCACTCACTATAGGGCAGCTTCTTCGCGTCGCGAAAAGGGATAAAATATTTTCTCAAATGATGTTATTTATGAGAAATTCGGGATTCTTAAATGCTGGAAATAAAGTACAAATAAAAGCCCAAACAGACAAATTGCGCCTTTTTATAAACCTTATTTGGGCGGTGGGCGATAATTTAGGTATTTGTTCACGAAAAAAAGTTTTACAATTTATCCCTAGAGTAGTACATAAATTAATGAAATAGATTTATTATTATGCTCTCTAGAATTAAAACCACATATTCGAAATTCATACATTTCGATTACATTTGTAAGCAGTGCAATATCTCCTACACTTTACTAACTGTGCAAAGAACAGTGAGCACTTAATATGACTTAAAAGGCTCGCAGGGTTTGTTAGTCTTCTATTTTTGAGATATTTACCTACATCCTAACTAATGACTAAGTGGTCTTAAGTCTTAATACTAATAATTACACTAAAGTAGGTAAGTCTGATGGTTTAAATCGTTTAAATCGTTTTAAACAACTAGGTTTACTCATTAACTTTTTAACTATACGAAGTTTGGATATACTTTTAATGATTTAATTTATTTAACACCGAATTTCTTCTTCGATAGGCACATGTAAATGTTGATGTAATATAGAATTTGGCACATACTTTAGATAAACAAACGAAATAGGTAACGGACGATGTTCGTTAAACAAAAGCTTTGTTTGAAACCAGTATAATATAAAAACGTTTGACAGTTCGGTTCTCCAATGTCGTATCAAGTAGTTCTTTTAAATATGTTGTATAAAACGGATTTTATGAAAAATACAATTCATATAGAAAAAAATATACATAGGTAGTACATTGTCATCAAGCTTGTTTACTAAGCTGATATACCTAAGATATATCGTTACCATAACATGAGAATCTTTTAACTCCACTTTTTACAGAAAACAAGATTATTGTGTTATTAATCTATTAAAAAAAAGCAAAATGCGTAAGTTTTGAAAATTACATAACTCTACTATGTTGGCATGTCAGGTAAATTTTATGATACGTAAAACTTGTAACTCCATAGAAGCGCTAAACTCACATAAAAACGAACATAAAAACGTGTATCTCCACAATCAATTTTCTACAAAAAATATTTCTTTTACATTAAATTACCTAATACAAAACCTAATATATTATTATTACCATTGTCATTAGCTCTAATGATACTTTTTCATGAAAAAAGTTTGTAGAATATTTTAAGAAGTTGTTTTTAAATATTTTGGAGAAAAACTATTAAATAATAATAGTAAATGATAATGTTTGTGTTTTTCAGACACTTTTTGATAAGGTATTTTTCGTGAGGCAGTAATTTCGCTCAGATTTTGAGAACACTTTACTAAAATAACTCAGTACTCTTTCTTTTCCCCAATGAATCTGTGAAAGCACTTCTCCAATTCCCACATTACTGGCATCAGTATCCAGAATAAATACTCCATTTGATAGTTGGTAGCCTAGTATTGGAGAGTTTTAAGTCTTTTTAAAACATCTTCTAAGTTCTTTAGACGTTCATAAAATCTCTGCCCCCAAGAATATAATGTCTTCTAAATACACCAGGCATATTTTCCCCGATAACCGTCTTAATACATTTTTCATGTCTTTGAAATGTCGCGGGTGCATTACATAGTTTAAATGGCATGACATTGAATTGCCATAAAGCAGATATGGCGGTAAAAACTATTTTTTCTTTATCTATTGGGTCCATTTCCACCTGCCAATATCCAAACTTCAAATCTGAGGTACAAAATAATTTACATCCGGCCCATGTGTTCAAGGTATCGTCGATTCGAGGCAAAGGATAACTGTCTTTCTTGGTAACATTGTTCAACTGATGGTAATTCACACAGACCCTCGTAGTTCAATTATTTTTCTGGACCAAGACTACCGTAGAGATCTATGGGTTGATAGAAGGTTATATAGCCATGTTTTCTTTTATTTCCCAAATAATCCTTTCAGCTTCCTCTCTCCTGGCCTTTGGTAATCTTCGAGCTGATTGACGAATCGGCCTGGCGTTACCAGTGTCAATTTTATGTTTTACAACATAAGTTCTTGCAGTTTGTTCTCCTTTTAAAACAAAAATGTCACGATATCGTCGAAGAAATTCCTTTTGTTTTCTTTTTCTCTGATTCACAGATTGACCAGTAGCTGCATAATTTGCTCAAATTTGTCGTTGAAATTACCAGAAGTTGTTGTCTGACGAATTATGGAAATTACTGGTACACAGGTTCAAATTATAATTTCTTTCTTGATGGTAATTGGGTAATCATTAACGTTTATGAGACGTACTGGTATTTCTTTAGCAGTCGTGATCAACTCCTTTCTGATTAGAATTCTATGTGCAACGTCTTCATCGTGATTCCAAGGTTTCATCATGACAAATATTCCTTCTTCCATAGTTTCTTGAAGCCGGGCTACTATAATGGTTTTATTTCTGCCAGGTACCACCATATCCTCATGTACAGCAACTGGCCTGGTACTGTTTTCATAAGGATGTAGGAATACCTCTTTGGCACCAACTTTGATCACTCTCTTCTGGAAACTGGGAATCATGTAAGATCATTACATCCATTCCAAGTATAACATTTTTTTCCAAATCAGCGACAATAACAGTATGAGTGAACTTTTCTGTACCAATTCCTATTTGAACCTGTATTTCCCCAGGGATGTTGGCAGTCCGCAGTCGCAATCTTGTTGGTAGAAGTCTCTTGTGGTTATTTATGTCGTATAATAGTTTTAGTTGCTCCAGTATCTACCAACAGTGTATACTTTTTACCATTTACTTCGTCGTCTACGAAAACACTGACATCGCAACATTTCAAAGAAACTATCAGTATAAGAGGGTCTTTGGGACGGTTTCGGGTCGAAGCTGTTCCCTCTAATCCGACCAGCTCTAGTTTTCCTGCAGCATGTTGTTTTCATTTGTTCTGACCCAAAGGCATTTGCACGAACTGCGTACATGTACCAGTTCATCGCAATTCCAGCACCAGGTGGTCTTCGTCTTCATCTTTTTTTCAGTAAAGTTCTTCATTATGTTAACCAGTTTGTCGAGTTTATCTTTCACTTCTTCTTTTTTTACAATCCTCTTTTACTGTATCCATCAGAACCCTGCGTAGTTGCCACATACTCTAGAACAGCGGACAAGATATCGACCAATGTTTTGTCACGAACTAGATGGAGTGTTTTTTGCATTTCGTGGTCACGGAGGCTAATAACAAATTTTTGGACTGTTAAACATTTCATCATGTTTTCTAGAGGCAAATCGCACCAACCTAGCAATATCTACTTCATATTCTCTCTCTTTTTGTTTGCGATTTTTTAACTGTGATTGATACAAATGCTCTAAGTGTTCGTGACTATATCTCGCATGGTTAGTCTCTTTTTGAAATGTTCAAAGTCATCTGTCTCTTCCACAGGTATAGTCTGAAAGACATCTAAAGCGTATCCTCGAAAGGCGATGGTCAAATTTACTGCCTTTTTTACATTAGCTCTTATAATGTAATATCTAGAAAATATCTTATGAGTTCTTCAAAATATTTTCTAAAAACAGTTATCATTTCTCAAAAATCATAAAATTAAATTTTTAAATTTACCCATTTATTCATACCTGTTTTTGAATTTAAGCACTTTTACAGATTAAATGGCTTTTGAAACAATGTCGGTGGAACAACTTGAATCTTTTGTTCCACTACCTGTCTTACAAGTTATTGAATCAATAAATTTGTCAGATATTTTTGATCTAGAATGATTATGATATTCATTATTAATTTTGTCAAGCTATTACAAAGTATATAAAAAATTATATTCAAAGACTTCGTCGGACGTTGCCTGCTGGTGCCTAAATTGGCGTAAGGGCTAGACTAATTTTAAATAAATTGGAATTGTTTTAAATCAATTTCTTCTCTACACACTTTAAATACAAAATCTTTAATTTTCTTCTACTATCCAGTGTTTACACACCTACACTCTCTTAGAGTTTTAACAATTAATTAAAGTTTTTAATATTATCTATAGTAAATCCAAATTAAGTTTATTAAAAATAATGCACTATAATTGAAGCTTCTTTCTAGGACAGTGTGGCTAAATAATTAAAACTAATATTGCGATGCGATCTATAACAATGTACGAACCGAATACCGAAAAGCTAAAATAATCTACAATTAATAAAAGAAAAGGTTAATAAGCACAATTTAGGAACGTTGACTTTCATTCCCTCATAAAGTTTTCCTTTAAAAGTCAGAGTCAAATTTAGCGCTAAAATGATATCTAGTAACTTTTTAGTAACTTGTCTCTGTGTAAATGCGACCTAAAAAATGAACTATAGTAAACTTTCATTATAATCTCAAAATGTAATTATTCTCCTTTAATTTCAGGTTGCATGGATAAAGTCAGACACAAAAGCTATTTTGGCAATACATACTCACATGGTGGCACAGAATCCCCGTCTTTCTGTTACACACAATGGACACAACACGTGGAAACTGCACGTATCTAATGTACAAAAGAACGATTCAGGCACGTATATGTGTCAGATAAACACCGACCCTATGAGAAGTCAGGTAAATATAATATTTTTTAAAGTTTATTATAGTATTGTTAGTAACTTTGCTAAACACAAATAGCAATGAACATTGTTGATATCAAGTAGTCTTGAAAAGTTTTTAGAGCCTTGACACTTGATTTATTTGTGAACATTTAGAATGTTGTATTTAAGTGAGAAAAATGGAAGGCCCTTAATATTACTTGCTAAACAATACATTCATACAAATTACAATGTTAACACCACATTCGGATCTATTCTGTTTGCAATAGCAATATGACTATGGGGCTAATTTCTTATCGTCAATTTTCAATAAGATGATCCGTCATTAATTAATATATCTTGCTGTACAAGCTTGCTCTCTCAGCAAGCTGCTTTTTGTACTTGTTAGCAAGATGGTATAGATTTAAGAATCTATTTATCGTCATTTTTTAAATAGTGAGAAGGTACAAATCAATTGTAGATAATTACATATCTTACTTTTAGGAAAATAAAGGTACTAAAATTCTCAAAATAATTATCAGGGATAAGATTAGATTTCATTAGGAATGTGAGTTTTAAATCCTCCTCCACCCCATAAGTTAGGGTACTGTGAGTCCATAAACTAAAAAGAAGCTCTACTCTGTATCTAATTACACTTGGTTTTTATTCCCTAAGTGTAAGGAATCTCAGTATTGGTAGACCGCAGTATTACAATTGAGTCGGAAAATAACATAGCTGCTATAACTCCTTCCAGTAAATGCTTCTTTTGTGAAAATAGAAGACACACTCGCAGTATCTGTCCAGCTCGTGATTAATTCTGCAAAACGTGTGGGGAAAAAAGACCATTTTAGCAAAGTTTGCATGTCAAAGAAACAACACAATAAGTTTCAGTCTGTATCAACATCAGCTTCTCTTATATCTCCCATTTTCCACGTTTTAGCAGCTGCTCCAAACTGCTTACATAAATCCTTGATTAAAATCAAGATTAATAATAAAAGTATCTGTGATGCACTTGTGGATACAGGAAGCTCCGAAACTTTTATTAGTAAAAACTTCATCGAATCAGCAAATATTGAGTTACTATCAAGTAAATGACAAATTAGTATGGCTTTACTCTCAAAAATTTGTGGACATTGTTTTATAAGTTTGGAATTCTTGGGCCATAAGTATGATCAAATTATAATATCTGTATTACTAGATCTGTGTGCAGATATAAGCATTGGTCATGATATACTGTCGCAACATTCGAAAACTGAAGTCAATTTTGGTGGTTCCAGGTCTCTTCTTGTTCTTATATTCATTAGCTGCTGCTAAAGTTTGTTCCCTAACTCTTATTACCCGGTATAAACTCTTCTAATAAAAATAGTAATGGAGATTTGGTATAATTCAAAACCGACCATTAGTAGTAGTGTAAACGATTAGTACCTCCATGTTCTACAATAAGGAACACTATTGTCCAAGTACGAATTGCCCTTGACTTATTTTTTATCTTTATCTATGATAGCACTTTATTCCTGAAGTCATTTAAAAGTCCACATGATTAAATGACTGCAATTGCGACAAACATCTCACTCCTGCACAAGCGATGTACTTTAGGTGATTTGACCTGATTCTATAGAAAACATTTTGGGTTATTTTGAAACTTAATTATCTGATCAGTAGACAGAGCACCCCGTATAATCAACTCCTCCCCCTATACGTCCCTTTTACATTTAGAAATTGTTGTTTTATTCCTCCAAAGCTCACAGCAACAACCTGCACTTATTTTATAAAGGAATTAATGAAATCCGAAAGAACAAAAATGTGAGCACAGACCATAAAAGAAATCCTGCTTTAAAGAACACATTATGCAACATTTATAAGAAGAAAATATTTTTTTTACTTTCAGAGACCCTCTCTATATGTATCAAAATAATAAAATACAGCTTTTGTAAAAGGGAATAAATGCTTTATCACGGAATATTAAAAAAACGACGTTTTCGCAAACGCAAGAATGTTTCATAAACAAAATACTTTAATATCCTTTTCGAGCAAGTCACTGAATCGTCTTATGTAAAGAACGTTATGATTTGGGAATAAATTCATCGATTGGATTTCATACATGTGTTTCTTTCTTCGTTCCGAATAATTCGGATATTTTAAGAGTTATTGGTTTAGTAACCGGGGAAATAAGCGACACAATATATAAATCTCCAATAATCCATTCGAATGGTTTAAATGAAAAAATGTTTAAGAAAACGTTCAGAGCTTAATTGTTTTTGGTTAAGAAAGAGATACTATTGCCGGAAGAACAGCTACATGCGGGAAAAGGAAGTTATTTCGACAAAAAAATATTCTTACTTCCACTTTTTAACACTTTTCTGTACGTTTTCCAGCACAATTAGTCCGAAAACGTAATAAAAATGAGTCTGCGCCGATACGATAACACTAGAACGAAAGTTCCGATCAGCTTGCGGATTTGAATTTTTTATAATTTCTTCAAGCCAAGAACCCTATTGATTTTTCAGAATGTTCGGGTTAACTTTAGTGCTTTCCATCAGAAACATGTTCACTGTTCATCTAGACAGATAGCAATACTCAGTACTCACCCTGAACACTAAACAGATCACGAATTTCCTCAGGGTTAGTAGTCGAATGTCACCAAGCCTTGGTCAAAATATCCATCAACATAGACTCTCAGAAAAAAGTAGAACCAGTCTACATAAGAGAGGTACCTCTCAGCGATGTTGTCAACTACATCAAATCTGTAAGCTGGCTGACTAGCTAAGCGAGGACAAATCAAATCATGAGGACGCATAATGAGTCTAGTAAGGCCTAAGTGCTGTAGGGAGCGCCCCCTCCCTATCTTACAGATACAGATATCCTGTCCATTATTATAATAAATAAAAGAGTTCAGCAATTTTTACATTATATCAAAGCCGATACTGGGAAATAGAGCTAAAGTCTACGCATAACATGTAGATATGGCTATACCAACTCTTACGAATACAGTTAAAAGAAAAGAGGAAAATTTACATTACAAACTGAAAGACCTGCGGAGCAACGGTAGTTTAGTAGGTATAAAAATTACAACTTAAGGGTGGAGCCTAATTACTACAAAATTACTTCCGAGAGACTAAACAAAATTAGCATTCATTCATAAGAAACGAGGGATACATATTCTAAACTCTAACGCGCGAAGTTGAGACAAAGGAACTGAAAAATATTCCATAATAACACAAAATAATATGTATTTTACAATAATTGATTATCTAAGAGTAGAAAAGCGTTCATAGTTTAGCAATACATTCGCTTTTGTACCTCAGATGTCCCCAATTCAAAAAGCCAAAGTAACAAATACAGTAAGCCAAAGTAAACAGACAATAAACGGTTTCTTGACATTTTACATTTTTAAATAAACTAAGTTTTTAAAAAATATTTTCTATACCTGTTTAATATTCATGCGGATTTATAATATTCAAACTTGGGGTAGCCATGTGTAAGTTAGTTAAATGAAAAGGGTACTTTGGTTTTATATTATGTAACGATCAGATATAATGTTTCAACATATTAATATTATTTATATTTAAAAAAAAATTGTTTTTGTTGTATGAATAATCTATTATGATAAACATAGGTACAACTTCTGTTACACTGGCTATCAGCAGCCGAGTTGTAAGTTGCACAGTTAAAAAATTTTGAGTAAATGGGTAAAAAAAGTCGAGTTTTGTATTAAAAAAAAAACAGATTCAAATTTGGAAAAACTGTCTCTAGAGGAGCATAGATTTAACCTTTATCTACACGCATATATTATTTTCTTTAAAAATAAACTTTAAAAATGGGGGTACTACGAAACTCTTGCATGCTCTGCTCTAAAGCAAAGTAAATACTCTTCTTAATGGATATTAACTTTTATTCATTTATCGTTGTATTTAATAGTGTTTCTTTATATAATTTTAAATATACATTCAGCAGTTTTATATAAGGCTGAATATCCATAAGCTTCTTTGTAAGTATTCCACGAATCAGTTTCAATTATCAATTAGAAGGATTCGTACTCGAGCTGGGATTAAAAGGATAATGAAGAAGGGCCATCGTGTTTTGGTTTATATTGATTACATTAAATTAGAAATTTGCTATGTAAAATTAGATTTTGGAAAGGGCTTTAAAAGTTGTTACTAATCTCAATTAAAATTAGTCGCATGAACTGTTGGATACAAAAAGGGAGTGTTTGTTTTGATCCTGAAATTATGAAATTAAGACTAATTGTCGAAGATACGATTAATGTAAAATAACACTCTTGTACATAGTTGGTATAAAATAAATATTAATGTTTGATTTAATATAAAACAGGGATATGATACTATGATATTATCAATCCATTTTGCTCTACGATGTTCCAAAGCTTCAATTCTATCAATATTTTAAGTTTTTCAAATAAATGCAAAATACTCTATCCAAAGATTTGTCAAACATAACTGGGATGATTTTTATTCAAAAACAAACACAAATGAACTCGTGTCATACTTAACAAATTTATTAATCAAATATGTTAATAAACATACAACTTAGGTCAGTCGATCAGCCAAGAAAGAGTGGATAACTCCAGCTCTAGTTAAATCCGTAAATAAAAAATATGAATTGTAGAAATTACATAAAAACGATCCTAATAACAGTCACATAAAAAATATTTATAATAAACACAAAAATTAACTTAATAAACTAATTAAAAAAGCAAAAATAAAATACTACTGAAAGCAAATAAATTTAAATGAGAGTAATTCACAAAAGTTATGGGAGCTTGTAAACGATATTAATAAAAACAAAGCAAATATTATAGAAAAAAATTGTTCATAACAATATGGACCTAACCTGACCGGGCGAATGAGCAAACAGCTTCAACACTTTTTTTTGCTGGTATTGGTAAAAAACTTGCAGCACAAATAAGAACACCTAATACTCCAAAACCGGTTATAAAAAGAGTACGGAATTCTTTATTTTTGGAACCAGTTAATTATGATGAAATTAAAAATATTAACAATTTAAAATCAAATAAATCTCCTGAAAAGGATAATATTCGGCCTAGTAAAATGTACTCAAAACATTATCGCTAAACCACTGTCATATAAAATAAATAGTATTTTTAATACAGGCCTGGTCCCAATTGCATTTAAAAGATCTATTGTAGTACCCATTTTGAAAAAAGAAAGCAAAGAAAATATTAATAACTATAGACCAATATCCTTAATCACGGTATTTACAAAAAAAAATTAAAAAGCCCTTAAAGAACGTCTAGAAAAATTCCTTAAAAAAATATAAAATTCTCTCAGATAACCAATTTGGATTCAAAAAGGGGGTGTCAATGCTCGATGCAATTTCCAACTAAACATCATTAATCTACACAAAATTAGACAAAGGAGAGTCAGTTTTAGGCCTATCTCTTGATCGTCAAAAGCCTTCGACTTAATCATACAAGCTGTTAAGAGGCTTTGGAAACATCTGTAATGAAAGGAATACCTTTAAAAATGTTTGAAAATTATTTATTTAACCGATCGCAGACTGTAACCAGCAAAGAAGAAAAAAATTGAGTATGGTATTCCTCAAGGCATAGTATTGGGTCATCTTTTATACTTAGTCCACATAAACAATCTACTCACTATAATCTGTACAGGAAATATACTCAGCTTCGCTGACGATACAGTAATCGTTTACTTCGCGAAAGCCTGGATAGATCTAAAAGATAAGGCTGAACCTGATCTTTCTAATTTGAGTCAATAGTTTGATCATATGGAACTCACTATAAATTAAAAAAAAAAACTCATTTTGTCTCGTTTACCAACTACACATCAACTCTGCCGAACTTCCATATTTTCTCTTTTGATAATCAGGGACTGGTCGTTAATGTAAGAATATTAAATATCTAGGAGTCGTCATTGATCAACATCTAAAATGGGCAAATCATGTCGATGAACTCTCAAAAACATCAAGGCACTTGTTAAGTAAATTTAAATGTTCAAAGACGGTTTCTCAAATATTTAAGTTTCCGAGAAGACCAAGTGTATCCTCCAGTTGGCACCCCCACATAACGAACTGTTGGTAAGACATAGTTTTTCGAGTCTTGAAGCAAGGCGCAAGTATTTTTCAGTGGTTACACTGCACAAAGTCATCACCAACAAAATAAATTGTAAAGACCTGCTGCATATGTAAAATTTTAGGATTCCCCGCCAAACTTCTAGGTGCAATGATACTTTTTACTTGACCACTCCTCGCACCAACATTTTAAGCAAATCTCCATTATATATCATGTGTAGTAATTGCAACAGCATTAACTTTGAGTTGGATATATTTAACATTAGAATTTTGGAATAAAACATTTGTTTTTGTGATTATTTCATCGTTTTATATAGTCTGTTTTTTTTTCTTTTCTAAATCTTCATTCTTTTGTTTTGTAATATTTTACATTGTATTTTTCTGAGATATTTGTTTTGTCATATTTTGCCTGTTCTTTAATTGGGAATTTCCTGTAGAACAGTTTGTAAAATAAATAAATAAATAAACATGTATGGGATTATCTTGGCAGAGCAATACCCAATCCAGAAAACCTCCTTTTAACCCTGCAGGACTTGACTGTAGCTATTCAAGAAGAGTGAGACAATATGTCTGATCATTTTATTGATAACTGGATCCGCGGAATGCCGCGACGCGTTGGCCAATTGATTGAAAGGAGAGGCGATAATACAGACTATTAAGTTATGTTTTTGTTACGATATAAAATTTTTTCACAAAAAATAAAATTTTCTTACTGACAATTTTTGGACATTTTTTTGTAATTTTCCTTTTTCTGCATTATTTGGAAAGCAAATTACAAAAGCTGTGTATCACATAGTTTGGTATTAAAATAAAGAATAACATTTTCTATATTTTCAATTTGAATATTTTTAAAAATACCTTGGGGGGGCCAAGACTTTTGAAGATGTGTGTATTATTGTAGGTCTATTAATTTTCTTCCATTTACTCATGCAAAATATATCACTGTGCCCACTATTTATATATTCTATGCCGTTATAATTTAGACAATTTTTGAATGAAGTTGAACATTGGATTACTTTCAGATGGGCAATTTAGAAGTAGTAATTTCGCCAGACATATTGTCAGACAACGAACCCAACGATGTGACTGAGGCCGTCGAAGGAGGGGCGATTCGGCTCAAATGCAAAGCTACCGGAGTGCCGGAACCGTCAGTTGGGTGGAGAAGAGAAGATGGCAGCAATATCATCTTACGCCACGAAAGCAGGGAGAAACAAGGTGACGTTTAGCTTACATTTTTTATTTTCGGGTTTAACAATATTTTTAGCCATTCTACGTTCCAGTAGCGCAGCTTCACATTTATTACTGAAGGTGTTTCAAAATTGTCCAGCAATATTTATACGGTAGAATATCAGCAAAAAAAAATACAACGAAGAAATCTCAAAGACAATTTCACAAGATATAAGCCGTTCAGTTTTTTTTAATAGTAATAGAAATTTGACATATTTCACTGCTTATAATATTAATTAATATTTATACAGGGTGATAGTACTCTGATAAAAATATAAGAAACTGAAGATATGTGGAAAATGCATATTGAGGGAGGCTAAGGCTTTAGAAATGTAAATTTTGAAAAAAATGTAGTAGCTAATATGCAAAAATAGATAATTTTACTAAAATTTCCAAACCAGTATAGATTTTACTCTTAAATCTGCTGTCGATATAAAAAAATTAATAGCTTAATCAAAAGTGGTAGTTTGTTTTCGTAAGGGTTTGAGTTATTTTTATCTTTTTTATCTTTCTATAGAACCTGATTACATTTTCCAAAACTACAAAGAAGGGTACTGTTGTTGTAAATTGAATGGATCAACGGTTTTCGAAGAAAATGAATATAAAAATATTGCTGCAGTCCTATATTGAGACATACAGAAGTGAAATAAACTATTAATATTTTTGGTATTCATAGAAAAAAATCATTTGATATAATTTTATTGCATATCTTATAAAAAAGGGCTTTCTTTAAATACACATGTAATTCGCATTTTAAAGTTTTAGTCGTTGTGAGCTTGAGTGCCTTCTATCTTCACTAATGTGCATTTTCGAATACATGTTTTTATAAACAAGTTATTTTAAGAATTACTTTATTCTTGAAGTGAAGAAATAATTAAAATATATTTTTGAAAATTATTAGGTATACTCAAATATTATTTTAAAAAAAAATAGAATAAACTAGGTACAAATAAAATCGAGATTTCTTAATAGTTATTACGATGAAAACCATATATCGTCACCCTAAATTTAAATTTATTATATGAAACATTTTGAAATTATTTCCGAAAAATTGTTTGACAAAATTGAAACACCTAATAAATCAATTTGTCTATTATCTTATGTAGGTAATCTATATTTTGACACCCAGTTGGTAACTATTTTCAACTATTTAAACGTGCGCCTTAACCAACTGATTTTGGATACGCCTATTTCTTAACGACATAGTTTGAGAGTATCTTCTATTTAATCGCTAAAAATATTTCTCAAATGAAAAAATTCCAACTATAATATATATACCTATTATATCCAAAGTGCTTTGCTTACTGGGCAGGCTGACTATTTTTATTTGATGTTTGGGTAAGGGCGCTGAACTTCATGACATGTATTCGGCTTATTCCCATTGCAAAAGTAACTACATTTTTATAAAAACGGAGAACTATCAACTTTTATGATAATTTTTGAGCCACACTCAATAAATAAAGATATTGCTTCCAAATTTTAAAGTTGGTTAGCTATAACCTCAAGTATTGTTTTTAACGTTATTTGAAGAGGATAACAAATAGTGCGGCTGGTAAAATAAAGGTTTTGCATGGGATTTCCTTTAAAAAAAATAAGTATACTATATCAAAACACAGTAATTGTCTTTTCGATAGATGCCATTGAAATCCACATGATTTAACTTTACGTTAAAGCTTATGGAAACTACTCAAAAACAACGGAAATGAAAAAAGAGTTTGAACATGAACAAGCCATAATTATTTAGAAATTTGGTAACAGCTGAAATAAAATTTAATCTTGAATTCAAGTATCAGAATCTATTTCTGATACTACTTGCTTAGCAGTTACTAAGTCCGCGGATGTTTCGGATTCTGCCATAGTTACCCAAAACACTTTTCTTTCGCTAAGCATTAGCAGTACCAAATATTTCACAATTTTTTCTTTTTTGGAGGATGTAATGCCACGAGTGGGCAAAGTTGGTGGTTTAAAATTGACAGGATTATGCTTTTTCTGAATAAAATTCTTTATATTCATCTGCAAAATCTTTTTTGTATTTCATGCACTGACTCCCTTTTGTAAAACAGACTTCCACTAGTTCAACAAAAAAGACTTTAATGGATCCTCTGGATTTTTTGTATTTCTTTTTTTGTTTGGCCACAAGTGGAACTCTGTTAATTCTGGAACTTCCACAGCCTCTAGGAGCTTCTAAAAGTCATATATGTTTCTTTTTATTAAGAGTTTCTGCTCGATATTACCGTGAATGCCATCCGCACTCATATGAGTGTGGCCCTTGGTCAGATAGCGAATGCCAATTTGATTTGGACCACTTTCAAAATTTACTTTAGTAACAAGTGCGGTGAACAAAGGCCAGTTTTTGTTTTGGGCGGTACAGGCATCCTCTGGCTGAGAACAAACTGTTTCCTTCACTTATTTGCAAAAGACTTACTCAAGACAAGACGGAATACACTTATAGTTTTAACTCAGATAGTATAATGGTGGGGATCAAATTTAAAGATGAATTTAAATCGAATTTTTCAATAACAAAACACAGTAACAATAAAAACCATAACAAAACACAGTAATTTCCAAGCAGTTACTATGTTTTGATATAGATTTTGGTAATTACTGTGTTTTGTAGTGGTAAAATCTGTTTTAGCTAGCAGTTACTGTGTTCTCAATGAACTGTATTTTTCTTATTTATTAACCGATTTTAGATTTTAAAATACCAAAATGTTCAGCAAAACAGCAATTACAAAAACCTAATAAAATAAATTTCGACCATAATGTGAGTTACTGTGTTTTGTATTGGGACAGCCGTATTGTCAGTTAGGTAATGGCATTTAGTAAATGAACATGGACAAGTGTCAAAATGAGCTACTTTATGTAACTGGTTATAATAAAAATATATAGCGAAGGAAGAAATGTTGGTTGAATAAAAATAGATTTAGTCAGTGAACTTACAATTAGTAATTTTAATTCTGGTTCAGTTGCTATTTTAAACAGCCTTGATTGATCCTAAAAATGCACAAAATAATCAAAACACTGTTTCACTCAATACACGATACTAGCATGACTTAACGCAGTTATTTTCTAATAATATTTTGTTATATTAAGGGTTTTCTACCGACAAAGAATAGAAAGTATTTTCAGTAAATTTGACAATGTTGTAGATCGACTTAACCATCTCATTAGCTTAGAATGTGACACATTATTGCATTGAATTTTATATTAATCAAATTTTAATTATTAATAAAAATTTAAATTATATTTTCAAGTACATCTGATGTTTGGTGTCTATGTGTATTGATAATGTAGTTGTTTAAAGTACCTAATTTCCAGACGTCTAGTGTGTTCATACACATTTGCTGTGTTTTCTAGTAAATTATTTTAACAAATTATCCTGTGGGAAATAGGAGAAAACCTAAAATCTAAGTGTCACTTAGACTTTCAAGCGTAGATTTGAGTGGTTTCTGTAAAAGTACAGCGACTCAAAAACAATAAAAAAACAAAAATGAAACGATCGGTCCCAAAGGCGAAGGAATAAAAGCATAAACAGATGCTTTTGATTAAAATCGGTAGTCTGAAGTCCGTTGTGTGCTTTTAAAGTTTCAGATGTGTCGGACTCAGATCCTTATGGCTAAAAGCAAACTTAAATAGAAATTAACAGTTACGTCAAGTTTCTAAACACGGACATTTTTTATTGCGACCACGTTATACGATTCCAAAGTAAATCGTCTTATTTTTTCAAATCGGTTATTGAAAAAACACTAAAATGTTTCAAATAAAAGTTATATGAAAAAATATTTTTGGATATTTAGGGTGTTATGCTTTTGCCTTGAAAATTAAAATATCTATTTTTTAAATGGTACTTTATTTCAGTTTTAGAATAATCTGGTAATACTGTATTTAACCCTAAAATATTTTTGAAAAATATTATGGGGTTGCCAACCAATTAATTTATTTGCGAAATTAGAGAATGATACAGACCCCAAATAAAATAATTATAATTTATATAGGTTAGCGATGATTATACAGGGTTGATTATACAGGGTAGTACACAAATGTGGAGTGAACCATACGTATACTTTTAAAACCAAACTCTGTAGATAGTTAAAAATGATAGAATTGGTTTAACTTTATTGATTATTTTTATATCGTCAAACAATTTTAATATATTTAATATCCCTAAAAAAACTTTAATTTGCTGTGATGCACACAAGGTGTATCAAAACGCAAGGCTACTATATTCTACATTTTTTCAAATCCAATACTCTGTTTTTATACCACCAATTTACAAAATAATTTTCGCCATATTTATTTTGTTTGACATTACCTATACCCAAAAGAATTTTTCCAAGATTTTGAAGGTTTTATCATTTACATAATTTCATATTTTTTCCAATTTGCTCTCAAAAATATGGATTATGGTAAAATACTAATTTTATTTTTGTTGTAAACCATTGTAAATAAGGTTTAAAAGAAGGCATTTTAAAAATCCTGAACAAAATAAAAAGTAAACAAATTAATTGATAAATTGGTAGTATAATATACAGAGTATTCCATTTGAAAAAACTGTAAATGCAAAATATTTTTAAAATTGTTTGACGATATGGAAACAATCAAATCTGTTATGCGTAACTACCTACAGGGTGCTTGATTTAAAAGAGTATAAGTTTGGTTCGTTCCTCATGGACTAGGTACCCCGAGGTACCCTGTATATTTAAGAATAATTTTAAAATATTATGTTACAAATAGAAAATCTCATATTGACACTTATACTGTCATATATAAGGTGTTAAAATTACAACGACGATAGGTATTGTGTTTCATAGTTAAAGGGAAATATGTTAGTGTTATAGGGTGTCTTTCTAAAATTAAAGTTAATATAAAGGGTGTTTCAGAAATATTTTCGTTTATCAATACGTTCGTTGGCGCGATAGGCACATTCCTGAGAAAGAAGGCAGTTGGAAAATGGTGATATAAAGTGTTAAGTTTTAGTTGCAATGGAG